AGTGGCGGAGCAGGTATCGTCGACATTCCGAGAGCAGTGCCTGAGCACCCCATGCCCCCGTGAAATATCCGAAGAGCGAAATCCATCACTCCCAGGGAATTTCAGACTTCCCTGGGTTACTCAAGAAGACTTGAGGAGGTTTGATGCCGAATCCTCCGTCCATCCCGTCGTCAAAAGAATGTGGAGTCCTCGGTGGCCTCGGCAGGTCGGGAAGGAACGTCCAGTCAACAGTTGTGCTCTCATGGGACTTTTAATTAAAATCATGATGATGATGAAGAAGAAGGAAGTGAATGAACACATAGCATAGAAGAAGACAAAGTTATCCGAGTATATGAAAATATAACAATGAAGACACAACACTCCCGACGGGTACACACAGTACGCTTGGCAAATAACGGCTTAAGAACCGCAGGGCGTGACTCGTTATCTTCCTGGTTCGTGATTGGCTCTCCGACGGTCGTGTCGGCTAATATTGCATTCTCATTGACTGTGAAGGGTTGACGAGACTATCAAGACTCGCCCTGCGTTTCTTGAGCGCGAGCTCAAAAAATGCTACTGATTTGTTGTTTCAGATTTGTGGATTTTTCGTAGACCTTTTTGTAGATTGAACTTGGAGCAACAGCTTTAACATATTTTATTAGTAATATATGTGAGTATGCAAACTAGTGCCATTTTCAACCCAAGTGGTACCACTTGAAGCTCATGTGGTACCATTTGCAACCCAAGTGGTACCACTTGAGGTCCAGGTGGCACCACTTGAAGCCCAAGTGGTGCCACTTGGCTTGCAAGTGGCACCAGTTGACTTGCAAGTAGTACCACTTGACTTGCAAGTGGTACCACTTGAAGTTTAAATGCTACCACTTGACTTCCAAGTGGTACCACTTGACTTCCAAGCGGTACCACATGACTTGCAAGTGGTACCACTTCAAAGCAAGTGGTACCACTTTAAATACCACTTCATATTTTCACCTGGAATATATGTACCTTTAGACTGCTGGGATGCCTGTCTTTTTTTAGATGCTCCCCAGCGAACTCGTAAAAAAGATTTCGCTTTATTGCCAGATGGCATTAGGTTCCTCCCTCTAGAAAAACATAATGATATCCCTGTTGATTTGGTCAAGTTCTTGGGCCTGCATACAATATGGCAGAGCAGAATGGCTACGCGGCACGCTGATGTTAACGCACCCCCTGTACGGTCGTATTTTATAGAAAGTGTCCACAGACTAAAATTTATGTACGCCACGATGGTCTGCCCTCCTGTTTGGGCGCACAATCTTAATGTTCTCGAGAATGCGAAGAAATTTTAAAATTTCATGCCCGCGCACCACGCGTCGTGCATGCGATTCTGACATTGTGATTGGTTTTGTATTTTCTTCTGCAAGCGAACAATAAAAAATAAATAAAAGCCTTCGTGGTCGAATGGTAATCGTGCTTGGCTCCTACGCAAAGGGCTCGAGGTTCAGTGCCTGGGAGCGGACGCCCCTTTTTTTTTTTGTTTCTGTAGATGTTGAGTTCTGGTACATTCGACAGCCCGGTTGCTTATTCGAGGTTAGAATGTTGTACGCGGCGAACCTTCTACGCGCATTTTTCCAGAAGCCCACGCATGTACAGGGTGTCACAAAAGAAAATTTACACTGTCTTTTTTACCGCAAAAATAAACTAGCCATCGCCGTACGCTCATTCTCCGGCCAAAGGTAGCGCTAGAGATCACAACCAGATGCCAAAGTTTCAGCCCGATCCGATATCTTAATCAAAAGTTATAAGTGATTTTCTGAAAATTTCAATGGGTTTTGCCAGTTTTGCCCGTTTTCGGTTTCTGGCGCCATAGAGCCCCATGTGTTTGAAAATTCCGTCGGCAGCCATTTTCCCACTGAAATGTTGAGGAAATCACTTATAACTTTTGATTAAGTTATCGGATCGGACTGAAACTTTGGCATCTGGTTGTGACCTCTAGCGCTACCTTTGGGTGGAGAATAAGCGTTCGGCAATGCCTAGTTTATTTTTCCGGTAAAAAAGACCGTGTAAATTGTCTTCTGTGACACGCTGTACATAAGGGGCTCCTCGTGGCGAGCGGGACTCAGTCTCGCCCCAGCGTTATATTCTGCTGTCTCGCTGCCATCGACGCCTGCGACGCTAGCCTTTATCTATTTTGTTTTGGGCACAAGTTCGCCCCATTGAACGTTTAGTTTGCTTCAGGTTTCGTGGCCTCATCAATTGTCATTTGTGACAATATTAACCATTAGCTCAAGGGTCCGGCAGTGAATATAGGTGATAGCGACAAGACTAAAAATGGATATCTCGCTGTAAGATTTGCCCTTGCCCAACGGAGGACAGTGTGGCCTTCTCACTGCGGGATGCCTCAACGGCATGCCGGCTGCCGGAGTCCTGTTACGGCAGGTTTGCCGCAAGTGTTACCGTGCATTTAGATCGCTGATCAACGCTCACCTTGATCTGGATGTACATCATACAGGCCCGTGTTTGTGTAATCCCTACTAAGGGACACTGCACTGAAGAACTGCATGATCGTCAGCAGAGTCATGATGCACCCATTGAGGCAGACTCTCATCCCGCGGCCCAAATATGCCATTAAGGCAAAATAATGTTGCGTGAATGTTTATACAGCCAGAAGTTAGTCAGCCACAGTGGGTGTCTGGCGTCTCAGCTGTAGATGAAATATTGAACCAGTTCAGTACAGCCACTAGCCTGAGGTCATTAACGCGCATCACGCAGTAGTTATACATGGCCGCACGTCGGTACGATGCTCATTCATATCGCAACGGTCAGGGGTGGGGTTTTAACTCAGGATCCATGGGTTATCAAAGGGGTACTTAGAAGGCTCAAAGCAATTTCTTGAATGTGCCCGACGTTTCAAAGCCGGCTCGGCTTATTGTTCACTGGTTTCTGTATGTGGGCCCAAAGTTTGCAATACACATACAGTCACCCGTGATCAAGGAGCCGATCCAGATTTGAAACGTCGGGCACGAAGAAGAAATTGGTTAGAGTCTACTAGGTAACCCTTTGATAGTGCTTACGTAACCAGGTGGCGTTCCGCCGAAAAGTGTACTATACTTCGTTTCAGCTTAAGTTGTACCGCAGCGAAGGCTAGAAGCGCGAGCTCATAGCCTTGGCAGCCGTTCTTAAGTCACGAGAGCTTGTGCCGCCGAGATGTGCCCCAGAGCAAGGAGCTCGCGCTTGCAGCCTGTCCTGCGGTACATCATAAGGTGAAACAGAGTATAGAGTGATTTCATGCGCACGCGTGCTTTTCCTTGAGAGGTGACATCTCAGCCATTTTTCCACTCAATCGTTTTTTTTTTATGCATTTTGAAGTGCGCGCGATCTGGTGGCACTCAGCTCGAGCGCGTAGCTTTGGCTAATGCATAGACGCCATTTTACCGCAAAAGTCACGCACCGAGTGCGCCAGAGCTTCACTCGCTGGCACATTCAGGGCAACAATGGATGACTTCACCCTGAGACAGACAGACATGTAGGCACCCTAATGTTCAGATTTAAGGTCTGTTCACACGATGCATCTTTTAGGCGCGGAACAGTTTCGCGACACTCAAGTTTCGCGAAATGTGCTCGTTCACACGTACCGCTTCACGTGCAACAACGATGACGTTTAGACTCGCGAAAATAGTTTGGGTGTTGACCATAAAGTGGCGCTTCAGTTGAAAGCCAACATCATCATCATCACCATTAGCCATTCAGCGTCGTGTTCTCCATCTCCCGCCACATTCTAAGAGTCAAAACGCAGGCGAGCTGGTGAGCAATCATAATTAATGAATAAAACCTTAAGACAAGGAAACAAAAAGGGACATACACACCACCGTCTTAAAACCAGCTCAGCATACAGCTGTCATTTACTTCCATTTACCTAATTTACTCTTAAATTGTCATTTACTAGTTGTTGAATTGTCATTTACTGCCATTTACTTTATTTACTGTTGAATAGGTATAATTTGGATAGAGGTTGACAAAGAAGAAGACTGTTCTGGAAGTAAATGAGAGCTGTGCGCTGTGCTGGTTTTAAGACGGTACTGTGTACGTCCCTTTTTGTTTCCTTGTCTCAAGGTTTTATTTCTTAATTATGACTAAAAATAGACGCGAATTGTCATCATAACCAATTACGTCTTCGTCCATCGCTGGATTTTTTTCCGATATGCTACTCACTTTTTCTTCAGTGGTGCTTGACGTGCTTGCGGAAGCGCCGGCAGTATCCATCGTTCGTGATTTCGGTTTTTTTCGGATTTGGCTCGGCTACGACACCGGCAATGAAGTGGTCTTCTCAAACAGCTCGCTCCCTTCTCAAAGGCCACGTGAGAGCGTTTCTGAGCGGCCATTGGCGGCGCCCTCAGAATGATTGACAGGACTCGGCAAAGTTTCAGCAAAAGCTCGCTCCAAAAGCGAGGTGTGCGCGCAACTTTTTTTAGATGCGCGCGTCCTTTTCGAACTCGTTCAGACGGCGCAACCATTTCGCGAAACTACGTTTCGCGACACTAGATGCGCGAGAAAAATGCATCGTGTGAACGGGCCTTGACAGGACACGGCAAAGTTTCAGCAAAAGCTCGCTCCAGAAGCGAGGTGTGCGCGCAACTTTTTTTAGATGCGCGCGTCCTTTTCGGACTCGCGCATCATCTAGTGTCGCGCAACTATGTTTCGCGACACTAGATGCGCGAGAAAAATGCATCGTGTGAACGGGCCTTTAGATCCCTGGATGCCTACATTCTGCAGCGCGAGCTTTCGTCCCATGTGCTACGAGCTGATGTGCGCGGGCCCATTAGGCCACCGATCCCCCTTCTTCACTCAAGCATAATTTTCAATAAAGGCATTCTAACCTTAGCAGAAGAAGAAGTAGAACAAAGTGACGCTCGAACTCCCAGCGTGCACCGACCGCCGGTCACGCGCCGCAGCAGTTCCAAAATTTCGGCCACCAGCGTCGGACGTTTCCACCGGCGGCTCCAGCGAAGCTGCCCCCCGCGAGTCCAACCCAGCCCGTCGACATGGCCCAGGAGATTGGCGAGGCGCTGGCCAGGTTGCTGCGGGAGCGGGGTCCCATCGGCAGCGCGCTCGACAAGTTCGAGCGCAGCTCCAGGCTTAGGAGAGAGTACATCGTTTACGGTGAGCTTGCGCCGCCTGCTCGGCACGTTTTCTCTTGGCAGAGAGTTTCCAAATATCCCAAATCTTTAAAGGGGTTGCGCAACAATATTGCGTAGGAACGTTTCTTAATTTACAGAAGCGTACTGCTACTAGGGGGAAACAAGTATAATCGCACGTAATGCCACTGACCGAGGAGCTTCTTTGTTGCCGAGTAAATTTAACGATAAAGGCGGAAGTTCTATTTCAGTCGCTAGTTCAAACTTGATGACGTAGTTGTGGGTATTGCTTTGCTGTCATTGTCCACGATGCAATGTCCCGGATTTTATCGTCAACTTTTGAGATCCCCGCGGTGAAGATACTTAAATGCGCATCATACAATGGACACGAAAACTGCGTCACCATTCGATCTCGGCTGGTTACAATAAATGCCTCGCATTGGGGGTAATGATTCGTGCACAATTGCTGTGATTAGGAGAATAGCCGAGACCCTTCAATCTCTGCAACTCAGGTGAAGCCTTGTGCTTTGCTAATGCGAGCACCTGTCTCTGTTAAATATTGTCGTCATGCAATCGGCTCTAGATCACGTGGCAACTTCTGACTGCGAGATGAGGGGGTGTATCCCGCTTGTTGTCATGGACTTTTTTTTTTTGTGGCTGTCATTCCGCGGAAAAAAAAATCAACGCGCTTTTATTAGGTTTTGAATGTCAAGAATAACTCTAATTGGTATTCACTGAAACACAGGACATGTGGCATGCCAACACCGCGAGACTTGCATTTGAACGGCTAGACGTAGTTGTTTCTAAGCTTACATAATTTGAAGCTGGAATAAAGCTGGCAGTATTTTGGTTGGGCGTGAAGAGGTCATACTTTCAAAGGGGTCTAGTGTCGTTTAATAATTATTTCCACATGCTTGTTCTTTTTGTGTGTGTGTGTGTGTGTGTGTTATAGTCAAGTGCTTTGACATTTGCTACGCATTAAAAAATGAACGTCAGTACAAGTTTGCGGTAATATAGAGTATTACCAAATCGTTTTAATGCCCGATGCTTCTCAAGGTGGATGCTTTGAAGAATGATTCGAAGCGTGCTTCGAAGAGACATCACGACCACCCGATCCATGATCATCCTAAAATAACAATGTTTCTTCAGACCTGAGCACTTGCTGACTTCGAACCCTCATATAGACATTCAGCACAGCGCCATTGAAACGCTATATTTCGAAACATGCGTATTTTATAGAATATGCTTAAGTTACCATAAAAACCTCCCCCCCCCCCCCCCCACACTAAAAAAAAAACTAACATAAACCCGGTTTTGCGTCGGACAACCGAACGCGAGTTGGGGGGGGGGGGGGGGGGGGGGAGAAGGGGATACTGCTTGTGGAGAAGCCTCTATGGGAAATTCCCTAATTGAGCTAATCTAATAACGTTGAGGTTGTTTAAAACCTCTGCGCTGATTGCGTCCAGTGCAACCAAAACAGCAGAAACGACCAGGACACCGGAACAATGAGACACAAGGTTGCTTCACGAATTCAATTCTTGTATTGCTTGCCACATTCTGTACGGGGTAGAGGCCCGATGCCCGTTTCGTTGCTCTCTTTTTGGTGACCTCTCGTGACGTCATTACCTTTGTAAGAACAAGTTCTATGGTATTTGTAATGAGCATAATGGAAGCTTGAAATCACTGAGTTCTCCAAAGCAACACTGCCAACACCGTCAAAAATAAAGTTCTTACATTCCTCTTATTTCCTTCGATGAGAAATCCTTTGCTCACCTCATAACCAGCATTCAGTCAATAGACCCTTTTCAAAAGTCAGAGTCCTCTTGTGGCAGTCCAAAAAGCTCCAATATTGCCGCTCTAATGGTGGTGATAGGAGATCATGCGCGGCTAAATCAAGCACCCTCGATTTCGTGCATCAAAGGTGACGTGAGACGACCAACATCTTTTCCTTTTTCTGCTCTTTGCTTTCGGAGACGCTCGATTTTTCTGGTGTGGAGAAACAGTGTAGTTCCGCCATTAGAGCGTCGGGTCCGGCTCTGCACAAGGTGGGTAGACTGACTTTCGTAAAGGGTCTATTGTGGCAGGCCGACCACAGCGACACTTTCGATTGCGCACGTCGCCAATAGTTAACAATGATGTCAATGCTGCTGCTTGAGCGTGCTTTTATCTCGCATTTCTTCTCAACGCGCTCGCTCGTGCCAGCAGTCTTGAGAGCTTTGTAAACTTTCACTTTAAAGGGGTACGGAAACGAAATGTTTGCAATTCTTTTTCACTTGCGGTCTATGTTATGCCGGCAGCCCAGAAACAGTAGCCTAGACTAGTGCATCTGAGGTGCAGGCACGGTTGTCAAGAAAAATAATCTTAAAACGAATGAACGCATTTCAAAATTGTGTCTGGTGGCAGTCTGAGAAGATCCGCTGGAATGCCACATCGTCATGAGTTCCTAAGCAGCAGCGCCAGTTCTCGGCAGGATGGCTCGCTCGTGGAGTTACTTAGTCCTGAATGTGACTCGGAGGAGAACACTAACCCGTTTACTGTAATCCGTTCACCCATAAGCTGAGACTGCAGCCATAGCTACAAGCGTGAGCTTCCCGCACTCCCGGCTCTGAAACATGCATTTCTAGCGCGAGCGCTCCTTCCATGGAAGGAGGCTTCAAAGCAGCGACCTCGAGCAGCGACCCTCTGCACCGTACATTCCACACCATCGAGTCATTCCTCATGAAGAGCGCAAAAAAGAACGTCTCATCCGCATCCTTGTCTTTATCAAAAAGTACAGTGAAGTTTCTCAGGCCGGAACTGGAAAGAATGTGCAACTGTTCGTAGAAATTTGACAGTCATGGAACACCGTGGAAATCGAACGGTCACAAATCCTCCATCCTTGCCCTCTAGTTCACCCCCTTTTGATTCTCCGGTTTCCTTCCCCCTTTGGCCTCCTCTTTAAAGCCCCCTTATCACGGTGATCCCGGGAAAGAGCGGGATTTTTTGTTTCCATATTTAGACTTCGTTGGTAAAGGAAAAAGTTGGGCTGTCTCGTCCACGTCCTTCTTGTTTTTATTCTTTCAATTTTAAGTATTGACGTTTCAGCACGCTCATCTTAATCAGTTCAAAAAGAGACAACTCTATAGAGCGCACATTATATGGTCTTAAACATAAGTTAACCACATCATCAGACCCAATAAATTCTTCGCTTACCTTGTCCGGTTTTCGTTGTGTTCCCTGTCCTTTTTGCACTATTTTATACGTTTCACTACGGTGAACCAACCACCGCAGCAGCGTACCTTACTAAAGTAATACAACGCTTCAGAGGTTCATTGCCCACTACCACGTGGAACAAGCGAGTACGATCACGGAATGGCGCCACTGCGTAGGGCCCAAAAATTGGTGTTTAGCGGACGAATTTTCAACTTCCTTCAACTTTCTGAATTGATTTTATAACTACAATTCACAAAAAAAAAAAGAAAACATAAGTTAATGAATATGTCTTCAATATTAAATTTTACGCTGCAAGGCTGTAAAACCATTTTGATTTATTTGTTTATTTACTTTCTGCGACAAATTAAGTTAAAAGCTCGAAAAACATTTTTCTTTTCGTTCTGCAAATTAGAATTCCAAAAGAAAAACGAACGCGATGTAAAAAAAAAAAAAGAATTACCTTTCGCCAAACTGTTAAACCTTTTTTTTTCTTTCTTTCGAATACAGCCACCCCGAGGCTACCAGCTCGTCTAGTTAGCAAAAAAAAAAAAAAAAAAACACAATATTTTCTATGGGGACTGCACAAACTGTCGGAGCTGTAATATCCTCTCAGACGGATTCACCCGCTCGTCACTCAATTAGCAAATTTAATTACAAACCCGAGTTTGAAGAATGCACGAGAGTATTGATTTTTGGAGGTTCATTAAAGGAACCTAGGAAAGGTGGTACAGTACTGAAGTTTTCCCTGGAGTGCCCAGGGGACTTGTAACAAAATTCCGAAATATTACATCGTGGAGCGTTTTAAGCGAAATTCAGACAATTTTAATGTATAAATTAAGTAAAAAAACAAAGTGACAAAACATACGGTACTATGTACCAAGGGGTGTTTCCAACTTTCGTTTCAAGGTAATGACTAAAATATTAAATGTTACGGTATTCGTGTCAAAGACAGGACAGTTTTCGCTGGATTTATTTTCAATAAGTTGAAAACGATTGCGACACAAGCATTAAATGTCCCAAGCCAGAGCCTTTTGAAAAGTCCGCGCCAGCGCCTTTCCGCCATTGCTTGCTCATATACTCTGATGCATGGGACACGAGGACTGCGTCAGCGTTTGCAGTCTACTCGGCTCAGCTCTTCTGCGGAGAGCAAGTCGTCTGTTTTTTTTGCAGGGGTTGCGGCTACGTCAGAACAACGCAGAGCTATAAATGGCTCTGATCGAAAGATAGTGGGTAGACCTCAAAGCAATCTTCCTTAAGGTCTACCCACTACCCTTCAAGCAGAGCCATTCAGAGCTCTGCGTCTCTCTGACGTCACAGCAACCCCTGTAAAAGAGGCAGACGAACTTGCGCTCCGGATTGAAAACGAGCGGTGTGTCGGCGTTGGACGAAGACTCGGATTCAAGGAGGCGCTATATGAGCAAGCAATGGCGATCACCAATGTTGCTTGAAAGACTTTTGAAAATGTTATCTAGTTTTGCTGTTGTCTTCTCGAGCTTACAAGTACGAAGGCTTGCGACGCCGCCGAGATCAGTGTTTTCCCGAGAACGGTCTGCTTTCGACTTATGTCTACTGAACCGCACAAAACATAGGACCAATAAGAGGCGACGGATGTAGGACAGAGTGATGCCATGGCATAGTGCACTTTTTCAGCCCGATCCATTCGCGTCTACTTTCTAATGTAGAGTGAGCGCGGCCAATGCCACGACCTATGCCGCCAATCCATCGATATGAACGTGCTGTTTGACCTTGCAAAGCTCGAGTTTCTAAGTCAAAGTAAAATCAATGGATCTTGGAAAAGTGGTGCCATTGCTTTCCCTACCTTCTAGCCGGACA